GTCGTCGAACTTTCTAAGACCTCCTCTTTGTCCGTCCAACGAAATTGATGTGCTAGTAGAAGGTGTTGCTGTACGTGCACTTGTCGACACAGGCGCCGTCGTTTCTGTAATTAGTGAAAAACTGTGTCGCGATTTGAGAAAAGTTACAACGCCGCTTACGAATCTTGCTCTGCGTACAGCCACCTCCCATTTCATCGCGCCGACAGCTCAGTGCACAGCACGCGTTCTTATTCAAGATGTTTGGTACGCCGTCAACTTTGTTGTTCTCCCACGTTCATCTTACGACGTGATACTAGGATGGGATTTCCTTTCTACCCATCAGGCTCTCGTCGACTGCGCTCGTGCTGAACTCACGTTGACGAATCCGTGCCTTGATATCGACCACCACAGTCCCTCGAAAGTGTTTGCCGCAGCTGACGTCCGCATCGCGCCGTTGTCCGCCGTCCTAGTGCCTGTGTTTTCCCCTGCTGCCACTAACTCGACGCTCCTGTTCCAACCAACTATAGCTAGTGCGCAACACCGGACCATCGTCCTCCCGTTTGCCGTCATCAACTTTTCCAATGGTTCGGCGGTACTTTATGCGTGCAACGTTTCTGCTTGCCCGTACATCCTGCTACGCGGTGAGTGTCTGGGAAGCCTCGAGACCTTAAATTGTATTTTCGAAGAACCGATCTATCCAGACAAGCCATTTCTACCGACTTGTGCCATTACACCCGCAACTGACGCTAATGAACCTATGGATGTATTCCGCAAGTCCATCGATTGTAACCTCACGCCTGGGCAGCAGAAACAGCTGATCAAGCTCCTACAGCGTTTTCGAGCCTCGTTTGACCACAATCAGCCTTCCTTAGGTCGAGCGTCATCTGTTGTACACCGTATAGATACCGGTCAAGAGACGCCATTACGGCAGCGTCCATATCGTGTGTCAACTACCGAACGCCGTGCCATCAATGAACAGGTTGACGACATGCTGACACGTGGCATAATCGAACCGTCAAGCAGTCCCTGGGCCTCTCCAGTTGTGTTGTTGAAGAAGAAGGACGGATCCATCAGGTTTTGCGTGGACTACCGGCGTCTCAACCGAATCACGCGCAAGGATGTCTATCCGCTGCCACGCATTGACGATGCCTTGGACTGCCTACAGGGAGCCGAATTTTTCTCTTCTTTAGATCTCCGCTCTGGATACTGGCAGGTACCCATGGCAGAGGCCGATCGTGAAAAAACTGCTTTCATCACACCCGACGGGCTTTACGAATTCACAGTGATGCCCTTCGGCCTCTGCAACGCGCCAGCTACTTTCGAGCGGATGATGGACTCTATCCTTCGAGGCCTCAAATGGAACGTTTGCCTTTGTTATTTAGATGATATTGTCGTCTTTTCAACTGATTTTGAAACCCATTTAACCCGCCTCGAGAAAGTCCTCGCGTGTATTTCTGCCGCGGGGCTGCAACTGAATCTGAAGAAGTGCAATTTCGCCGCTCGAAAGCTTACGATCCTTGGCCACGTGGTTTCAAAAGACGGCATTCTTCCTGACCCTGCCAAACTTACAGCCGTTTCAGCGTTTCCCAAACCGACCACCATGAAAGAGCTCCGAAGCTTCATAGGCCTTTGCTCTTACTTCCGGCGCTTCGTCCGCAATTTCGCGACGATCATCGCTCCTTTGACCAAGCTCCTCGCCGGCTCCAGAGACCTTTCAGCCTGGTCTGCCACCTGTGACGACTCTTTCAATGAACTGCGCCGCCTCCTCACGTCGCCGCCTATTCTGCGACACTACGACCCATCGGCACCCACAGAGATCCACACCGACGCTAGTGGTGTCGGGCTAGGTGCTATTCTTGCACAGAAGAAAGACGGCTTCCAAGAGTACGTGGTTGCCTACGCAAGCCGAACTCTTAGCAAAGCCGAAAGCAACTATTCTGTCACCGAAAAGGAATGCCTCGCCATTATTTGGGCGATAGAAAAATTTCGACCTTACGTGTACGGGCGCCCTTTTGACGTCGTGACTGACCACCACGCCCTCTGCTGGTTGTCGTCATTGAAGGATCCAAGTGGTCGCCTCGCCCGATGGGCATTACGCCTCCAAGAATATAATATTCGCGTGGTCTATCGCTCCGGCCGGAAACATTCGGACGCAGACGCCCTATCCCGTTCGCCCCTACCCCCTGACCCGGATTGCTGCGAAAGTATAACCTGTGATGCCACTGCCGTCACCATCGCCGACATGCCATCTGAGCAACGCAAGGACCCTTGGGTTGCTTCGATTCTAGACATCCTGGCTGGGCGGACGGCTTCCCCCCCTTCTCGCACGTTGCGTCGGCAAGTGGAGCACTTCGCCACTCGCGACGACGTGCTGTACCGACGCAACTACGCACCCGGTGGGCGTCAGTGGCTACTCGTGATTCCACGTCATCTGCGATCCGAAATTTGTTCCACGTTTCATGACGACCCCCAATGTGGACACGCAGGTTTCCTGAAGACTTATTCTCGCATACGTCTCCGATATTACTGGCGTGGCATGTACCGTTTTATACGACAATACGTTCGGGCCTGCTCGACGTGCCAGAGACGAAAACTCCCCCTTGTCACGCCAGCGGTACCTTGCTACCCTTACCATGCCCATCTCGACCATTCGACCGCGTCGGCATCGATATCTATGGCCCCCTTCCCAACACTGCTGACGGTAACCGCTGGATCATAGTTGCCGTCGACCATCTCACGCGGTATGCCGAAACTTCATCCCTTCCCTCGTCTACAGCAAAAGACGTTGCGACTTTCGTTCTTCACAACATCGTATTACGTCATGGAGCACCTCGGGAGTTACTGAGCGATCGTGGTCGCGTATTCTTGTCAGACGTCATCACAGCATTGCTGCGTGAGTGCCACGTCGTTCACCGCACTACAAGCGCCTATCATCCTCAGACCAATGGAATGACAGAGCGCTTCAACCGCACCCTTGGTGACATGCTGTCTATGTATATCTCGTCAGACCACTCCAATTGGGACCGAGTGCTCCCGTTTATCACGTTCGCTTATAATACCGCCATTCAAAGCACTACAGGGTTCTCTCCTTTTTTCCTCCTTTACGGACGCGAACCTTCTTGCACTATGGACACCATTCTTTCGTACAAACCTGACTCCTCAGAGTCCACGACTTTGTCTCAAGCCGCTACATACGCTGAGGAATGCCGCCAACTGGCAAGAGCATTCACAACCCAAGACCAAGGACGCCAAAAGCACCACCATGACGCATCAAATAACACCACTTCCTACGATCCAGATTCACTCGTCTGGCTGCATGTTCCCTCTGCTACACCTGGCCTTTCTACCAAGTTGGTCCCCAAGTATCACGGCCCATATCGTGTGCTACAAAAAACGTCACCGGTGAATTACCTCATCGAGCCACTGGAACCATCTTCTGACCAACGTCGTCGTGGCCAGGAAATTGTCCACGTCTCGAGACTTAAGCCCTGCTACGACCCTCCCGTGTTTACTTGTCCATAGGTCGCCAGGATGGCTCCTTATTTCGCGGGGAGTAATTGTAATGAATTAATGAATCTGAGTAACGGACGCTCTGCTGGCAACGAAGAAGACGATGATGATCGGTGGCTGCAGTAGTAGCTCGCGCACGCCGTTCGCCATTAGCCAGACCTGCCTGTTAAAGCTCATTTTGTCAAGCTGCGTCTGAACCTTTCTCGACGTACAACACCTCTATTTTAATATATATATATATATATATATATATATATATATATATATATATATATATATATATATATATATATATATATATATATATATATATATATATATATATATTTCAGTTGTGTATGTAACACTTGGCATGGTGCACTACGTATGCGCGCATGTTGCGTAAATGATCAGCTATGTCCGAGATTGAACGTTACGTGCGGCCTTGGCTGCACTAACGGTCGCTAGTCTAATGACATGTGTTTAGGATAGCGTACTTTTTTCGCTCCTTCCCGCCCCTCTGCCCAACCCTTCCAGCGAATGCCATCGACAGAAGTGGTATGCGCTTGCACGTTTCCATATCCGAACGAGCGCGACAGTGAACCTTCCACTCACCTTCACCTGTGGTAGAGTGACGTGATTAAAGCGCAAAGGTCACGAATGACGTCATTGGCGAACGGCGTGGCGTCACTGTCGACTTTGGTTCTGGAAGTATAGCGATGCTGGTGAAAAAGAGAAAACATTGACTATTACTGTTTGCCGTGAGATCAATCAGTCAATAAACAGTTGATTTACTTGGTGTTCGTTGCAGCTTCAGCCGCAAGACGTCCACCGCGACAACCAAAAGCTACTATGTTGCAGCTCGAGCTCTCAGTAACAAAAAAAACCAACTACACATGTTTAAATAAAATGCATAAGCGAACATTTTAGGCAAGATTACGACAGACAGACAGACAGACAGACAGACAGACAGACAGACAGACAGACAGACAGACAGACAGACAGACAGACAGACAGACAGACAGACAGACAGACAGACAGACAGACAGACAGACAGACAGACAGACGGACGGACGGACGGACGGACGGACGGACGGAGACTCTCAGCGTCTGGCTATTATTATAGGGGTCACTGATATGTTCAGCATTGGTCAATGTCATGTTCAACGTCGGGATTGAGCGACGACACGTTCATCGTCAGAATAAACCAATAAAATATTACTCGCCGGGATGGGCAAAAAATGCGTCAGTCTAAGAAATACCTATTGGCATGTTCAACGTAACAATTTTTCTGTGTCAGGTTGAACGTCAAGATTCATCAATGACGTGTGTGACGTCTGGATAGGTCAGACATGCTAAACGCTAGGATTAGTCAAAGACAGGTGCAACATAAAGATTGTGTTAAATTTTCTTTTATGGACGGTGTGCTTTTTTTTTTCAATTCTTCTTCAAACATATTTGAAGCGTGCTTGATTTTGGTGTGAAATTAACTGTTTCAACTGGGTTTATCTTTGCTTACTTCTTCATCGCAGGGATAATATCCGGCGCTCTGCTTCAAATCAGGGAGATCTTCGACTTGTCCTGCGTCGTCCAGCAGCTGGTTGTGGGAAGCCTGTTTCTGAGCGCATTCATATCCTCATTTTTCGGAGGTGAGTCGGGCAACTTATCTATTACCTCGCCATAGATTACTAACCACGTAATTGAACGCATTTGGCAATCGACTACAGTAAGCAAATGATCGCTATAAACGCAGGGGTACTTTATTTCTCCTTCGCAGAGGATTGCTCTATTCTTTGTGGGCTGCATTTTAGGAACAACGTTTTCAAGTGAGACGTTTCCAACTCTCACTGACGTCGCACAGTGCAAAGGTGCCTGAAGAGGAGGCAATTAAAGAAAGTGCACTTTCCAACTACGGGAAAACTGCTAAGCTGCTGTATAGAATTTTCGCTTGGCAAAATGGGTGAATATTTGGAGTATTGCGCACTTCACAGTGGGAAAGCGTCATTTCGAAAAAGGGATGATACACTGTATGTTTATAATAAATTCACGAGTCATTCAGCTATCGTGAAAATGAAGGCAAGCTAACATCTGCGTCTTCTGACCTATAATTTCCCTCTCTTTCGTTCTTTTCTTCCGTATTATCGCATTGTGCAATGCTCCTCCATAATTTTTTTCCTTCATCCACGCCAGGAATAACATCTACCCCGTCCTTGGCAGCGTAGCACTTCAGTTGCCACAGGCAACAAAACACGATCGTACGAGAAACGATGAAAAGCAACAATCAAATGTCACGTGAAAGGTCATGTTACCCCGATAAAACAGATGAGATCGCCACGGCAGAAATGGCTAGTCGCCGGCAAGGCTGTGATCGAACGACCATCGATTGTTGCAAAACTCTGCATACACCTTCGAGGGCGAAGTACCTCTTCACGTTTCCGTGCACACGCATTTTCCGTGCGTACTGTTTTTTTTACGATCAATGGCGCCGACATTGCAATCTTTCACTCGCGAAAGATTCGTTTGTGAAGGAACGATTCTTTAAAAATCAGTTTCTAAACACTGACATTGAGTCACGTATTTCCACACGTTCAGAAAAAAAATGATTTAGAGTGTATACTTGTTACTCTACTATAGGAGCACATAAAACCGATAAAACCGTCCCTATGGTTACAAGTACAACACTAAATACATTAGAAAACAGCGTTAGGGGGGGGGGGGTGTTAGACAAAAATTCACAGCATATCGACGAAGTGAATGATGATGGGGGGGCGAAGCGTCCATCCGTCCATCTATGCGTACGTCCCTGCGTCCTTCCCTGCGTTCGTCTATGCGTTCGCCTATGCGTTCTTGCGTCCATTCGTGCGTTCGCCCACCTGTCCATGCGTCCGTCCGTGCGTCCGTATGTGAGCCCATCCATACGTTTTTTGGCCCCTGCGTCCGCGCATGTGTCCGTCCATGCGTCAAACAGACAGATGATGGACGGACGCGGCCAGCGGATGATTCACGGTTAGCCGATAAAACCTCCAAAGTTTTGCCCCACTCATCATCATTCACTCTGTGGATATGCTGTGAAGTGGTTACTACATACATGCATACATGTAGGTGACGACTGACTCACACCTTAAGAAACTTCTGTTGTAGGCCCGTGTACTCAGATTTGGGTGCACGTTAAAGAACCCCAGGTGGTCTAAATTTCCGGAGCCCTCCACTACGGCGTCTCTCATAATCATGTAGTGGTTTTGGGACGTTAAACCCCACATATCAATCAATCAACCTTAAGAAACTTCGTCCCAAAAAGGGGGTTAACGATTTAGAGTACGAAGTACTGGGAAAACATAAAGCCGTCCCATGGGCCTCACACTTAATGAGGCCATGACAACATAAACTCAACATGTCACGTAACGACGTCTTCAGGACTTGGCCCCTTGTGTTCAGAAAAAGTGGTTAACGATTTAGAGTACTTAAAACTCTACTAAGGGGGAGCTGAAAGCCGTCCCGTGAACCTTGAGTGCTCTGTTTAGAAAAAGTGGCAGCATATCCACGGAGTGAATGATGGAGAGTGGGGCGAAGCATCCGTCCGTCCATTCGTTCTTACTTCCGTTCAATCGTGCGTCCGTCTGTGTGACCGTCCATGCGTTCATCCGCCCGTCCGTGCGTGCGTCTGTTCGTGCGTCCGCACGTACATCTGTGCGTCCGTCCCTGCGTTCGTCCATGCATCCATCCCTGCGTCCGTCCCTGCGTCCATCCATGCGTCCATTCGTCCGTGCAGCCATCTATGCGTCCGTCCATGCATCTGTCTGTGTGCGTTCGTCCACCTATTCAACACTCCAAGTACCACCATCTCGCATCTTTCCATCATATATTCTGCATATAGAAGCACCGCCATCCAGTGGACATTCCTAGGACTAAACTAGAGGTGGCACACGCACAATTTTTTACGGCTTCCGCTTTGTGTCTACATCCCACCTTTAACCACCTGGAGTTCATGGTATATACTAGTTCACTCTATTCGTGGCACTGCAGCCTAACGCTCGCTAAACCTTTCTAAAACCAAGGAGGTTACGCCCAGTGAGAATAACCTAGCAACCTTTTCTTGTAAGGTAGTGCTCAATATACATGCCAATGTACATTGCCAATGGGTGCTAATGGGGAATGAGAGACAGGAGAATTTGGGTTTTAGTTAACGCGCACGCTAGGAATTTTTTATTGTTCAACAACGCACAGGAGAAATCTCCCACGGGCACCACCTTGCAGGTCAAAGCGTAAGGCTTGTTACGTACTACTACGGAGGACGAATGGGTGCCGCTGTAAGGAGCTTCACCCCTAAAACTGTCTCATTTGTGGGATTACGTTCATGAGCCGTAGGGTACACGCGATTTGGCTGTGTAGCCTTCACTTCGTTGTCAAGAAAAGTTGTCTGCGAATAAAGCCGTAAGTTTTTTTTTTTCATTTAGCGGCGTCATCGTCGTTGGCTGGCGCAGGAGTAACCGATAGAGCGAATAAGGACGAAACAGCTAACGACGACGAAAGAAAGTGATCGCGGGCTCTCTCAATGTCATAAGCCATCCGCATCCGTCTGTCCTCCCTTCCTTACTCTGTAACGCGCGCTGGCCCCTCGTCGCAGTTCGCGCGCATTCAGGGCTAATACCCGTGACACACGGGCAAAAGTAAAGTACTTTGAAGTAAACCCCTTTTGTCGCCTAAGGGGACCATTTGCTGAAAGAAGTGGCGCTGATGACACACGGCACCGGACTACTGCTTTAGGCGGTGCCTCAGAAGAACGCTGCAGAAAAAATGGCGCTGTTTGTGGAAGCAGCAAGATTGGAAATATTAAAAAGAACCTGCGCATGTACATCACATTCAGCAACGCCAGAGCATAAAACCGTTTTTTTTTTTATTCTCCGGTGGCTTATAGTGCGCATACCTGTAATTTTCTTTCGCTTTTTTGCGTTTTTAGCAGCAACTTAAGTTCGTCTGGCAACTATGAGCAGTCGGTGTTTTGCTGTTTTTGTTTTTGTAGTGCTTTTTACATGGCTGCGTCCAGTTGGGTCAGTGACTGCGTGCCGCGTTTTATCGTGGTCCTGCGATGTCTCAGCGCAGAGACAGAGATAAAGCAACAGTTGAGGTGGGCCTAACTCTTGTCGCCCTCGGCTCCATCGAAGATGAGCTAAACGCTGCGAAGGCAAGAGTGATGAGCCTCAAACAAAAACTCGTCATGAACAGCTTCATTTTGACTGCTTCCGCACTGTCCCCCCGAGCCATCAACCGCGAAAGGTGGGCCTATGTGCGCAACGAACGCTGGTTCGAAGACACATTGCCGTTCGAAGACACTCCACCGTTGTGCTTTTGCCCTCGCAAGGCGTCCAAATGGTCCTCCCATAGCTTTATCAGGGCCCAGGTCTCCTTTTTAGTCCACTGGACGCGCGGTTTTTTCTTCACCGACTGAGCCGACTTCATTGTTACAAGATACTACGTCGCCGACACAGCAACTGCCGCTGCCAACCCTAACATGATAGCGCTAGTGACGTAATGCAGGCGTTTGAGAGTATGGACAGACTATAGGCCTTCACTTTTCAACAAATCGCACTGCTGCTGAAAATGAAAACATTTTCTCAGCGCAAAAAAAAAATACTGACAGGGCACCGCAGTGTTGCGACACGTTTTCTTCTATTGATAAATTATGCACACTGTAGGCGAGAGTACTCCCTTCCTGCCAGAAAAGTAGATGCGGGAACTGCTTTCGCGAAAAGGATCTTTGCCGGAAAGGAGTTACTCCTTTGTCGTGTGTCACTGCGCCCGAACGCCTTTCCGAAAGATGTCCTCTTGTCTAAAGGACTTCAGGGTGCCCGTGTGTCAGGGAACACGTGCACGGCAGCGCGCTTCGCTTGCCGTAACAGGACGGTCGTCGCTTCGCCTGGTTCACGACGCCTGCAATGCACGTAGCGGTGCGCGTAGCACTCGAACGCTGCCATTTTATTGGCCAATATGTAAGTCATGTTACGTTGCTACAACAGCGTAAAGTTAAAGCTTCAAACAGTTGCCGTTACCCCACCACGAATCTGCGCTCAGATTTTACGTTAGGCAGTATCGTAATCATCGGTGAATTTCCCTGCTTGCTCTTACAGTGTCCTCCCCTCCTCCTAGTGTCAGGCTGTTTCTATATCTTTCCCATTTGCTATATATTATTGCGATAGCAAATATATAAACAGTTTCGGCAGGTTATTTTTTCTATCTTTTTTGTTGCCGTCGCCGTCATTCATCGTATATGTATACGTGTCCATATACATGAAAACTCAAGAAAGAAAAAAAGGCCGCCCGCGCTCGGCGCTCAGCTCGTCACAATGCGCCGACGCGCGCTTATCTCCAACGCGTACTTTGCCCCGCGAATGAAGAGTGGGGGGGGGGGGGGGGGGCTAGATGTTTGTGTGCGTGAGCTTATATCCTTCATTGGGAGGAATCGTGTGCCTTCGGCTTCCACCCGAAAAATGGCGTTAGTTGCCGGGCCCGCAAAGGTCACTTCGCTTCGCTGCACAGGCCCCGTTTGTGAAAAGAGTGTGCTTTCCATATACAGCGAAGCATAACTAGGACACTTGTTAGTTTGCACTCATCTGCGCTTGTGATTACGTTTCGTGCGTTGTTTTTGCTTAAA